CGCGCGCAACCCTCTGCGGAGATCGTGCGCGTCGAGTGCGCGAAATGCAGGCGAGAGTGCGATTTGCCGGCTGCGCGCGCAACCCTCTGCGGAGATCGTGCGCGTCGAGTCCGCGAAATGCAGGCGAGAGTGCGATTTGCCGGCTGCCCGCGCAACCCTCTGCGGAGATCGTGCGTGTCGAGTGCGCGAAATGAAGGCGAGAGTGCGATTTGCCGGCTGCCTGCGCAACCCTCTGCGGAGATCATGCGTGTCGAGTGCGCGAAATGCAGGCGAGAGTGCGATTTGCCGGCTGCCTGCGCAACCCTCTGCGGAGATCGTGCGTGTCGAGTGCTCGAAATGCAGGCGAGAGGGCGATTTGGCGGCTGCCCGCGCAACCCTCTGCGTAGATCCTGCGTTTCGAGCGCGCGAAATGCACGCGAGAGTGCGATTTGCCGGCTGCCCGTGCAACCCTCTGCATGCGGAGATCGTGCGTGTCGAGTGCGCGAAATGCAGGCGAGAGTGCGATTTGCCGGCTGCCCGCGCAACCCTCTGCGGAGATCGTGCGTGTCGAGGGCGCGAAATGCAGACGAGAGTGCGATTTGGTACGCAACTCTAGTACGCAGAGTAGCTGGGGAGCTGGAAGCGGAGAACTGGCGACGTGGTAGTGCGAGAGTAGTGCGCGGAGTAGCTGGGGAGCGGGAAGATGAGAACTGGCGAGTGGGTAGTACAACTTGAGGGCGTGGAGTATCTGGGGAGCTGGAAGATGAGCACTGGCGACTTTGTAGTACAACTGTAGTACGCGGAGCTGCTGGGGAGCTGGAAGCTGAGAACTGGTACAACTTTAGTACGCGGAGCAATCTGTGGAGCTGGAAGCTGAGAGCTGGCGACTGCGTAGTACAACTTTAGTACGCGGAGTAGCTGTGGAGCTGGAAGATGAGAAGTGGCGACGTGGTAATACAACTTTAGTACGCAGAGTAGCTGGGGAGTGGGAAGATGAGAACTGATGAGTGGGTAGTAGCTGAGAACTCGCGACTTTGTAGTTATACAACTTTAGTACGAGGAGTAGCTGGGGAGCTGGAAGATGAGAGCTGGCGACTTGGTAGTACAAATTTAGTACGCAGAGCAGCCGGGGAGTGGGAAGAGGAGAACTGGCGACTTGGCAGTGCAACTTTAGTACGCAGAGTAGCTGGGGAGTGGGAAGATGAGAACTGGTGAGTGGGTAGTAGCTGCTACTTCGTTCATCTCCTCTGACAGGTCACTGCTTCGGGGCACTTCTGGCGCACCTGCCTCGGCACTTTTGTGTCCTCATTCCGGTTCGTTTTTTTTCCGTGAGCTTTTCCTGGCGCTGTGCACGCTGCTTCTCCCCTTACCAGCAGCCCAAATGCTCACGACCATGAGCTGGGCTGTCACCGCTTGGCCGCCGGTGGGGGGTTTGGGAGGCCGCATCACACACAGACACCCACACACTCCCTCAACTTACACGAACACACACATACGCAGACTCATTTCCACACGGACATAGACACACGCACAGAAACCCACACACTACCTCAACTCACTCGACTTCACACTTCTCACTGCACACTTACCGGATAACTCGCACTCTGACTTCCTACGTGATGAAAAATGCTTTCGGGCCACTCGTCGTCTAGTTTTCCATAGTAAGTTGGAATGCTGGGTCCCAGGTTATTTAAGTCAAGAGCCATCAACAGTTAGAATGCTAGGTCCGGAGTGTGAATTTCGACAAAACTTGATACTGCAGGTAAACACCAGGATTTCTTGGAAGATAGAATGCAGCCAAAGATAACAATAGAAAAGGGCACACTTTGAACTTTGAATGCCACAGTTTTTACAGAATAGACAAACAAAAGGAAAGGACAAGGAAGAAAAAGGAACAGGAAACAAATGGTAAAGAACAAGACATGGAAGCAGAAAGGAAAAGACAGAAGAGGAAACAGAAGAGAAAAGGGAAACGAACAGGACACAGAAAAGGATAAAGGTACAAGGAATAGGAAAGGACAATAACATGAGACGGGAAACAGAAAAAGGCAAAAAGAGAGGACAAGGAAGAGGAACACGGAAAAGGAAACAATGGCTAAGACCGGGACATGGCAGCATACTCACACACACAAACAAACACAAGTAGGTTGACTGCATGCAAACTGAATCACACAAGTAGGTGCAAATCTTTGTAGAAAAACAACAACAAACATGACTGCAGACTTGAAAGCTTAAACAGCCTTGTACCTCTACGAGTGGTCTGTCGTTACAGCATTCACACATCCCACGATATCACCCAGCTTCGTTGGTCAAGGTTGGTGATATTGCGCCTTGACCCCCTGCATTGTTACACCAACAGGTGACCTTTGATTCTAAAGTATCCACATACACACACCTTCCAGCACCACCCATTTCGGGTGGTTATTGGGTGGACAGTGCATTGGATGCAAAGCACAGGAGGTTCTATCAACCACCGTCTCCATTTAAAAAAACCTCTCATGGTGACCGCTCGCGTTTGACCTGTCAGCGATAAAACATGGCCCTTCTTTGTGCGACATGGCCCTTGCAGCGGCACAGGATCTCAATCGAGACCTCTATGAGGCGTTTGGAAGAAAGACGGCCGGATCGTCGGTGTATGTGATCTCGGGTCCGCGCTTGCGGGGAAAGGATGGGAAAGGGAGAAACAGCCAACGCCTTCGAAGATCATTTTCTGAAGACACACCAGGTGGTGCCATCTCCGGAATATCTCAGACTGGCCTTTGGTTCGATCGTGCCCTTATTGAAATAAAATTGGGTCCAGAGTCTTTCGTCTTTCGTGCCTTTTGAGGCTTGGTGTTTCACCCCGCCTGCGAGCATGTTCCACCGGGCGGGGTCATGGGCGGTCCACGGGTCCAAGAGGACTCCTGGGTCTTGGGGGTCGAAGAGGGCATACACCTTTTAAGGACAAACTCTCCCAGCACCTGACCCTTTTGCCATCTTCATTTATAGACTACCATAGGACATCTGCAGAACTCCATGATACTCCATGTTTTGGACCTCCTGGAGAGGTCCAGGTTTCGGTCTGTTCATGAACTCGTTTCCTGCACCTTTCGGACATGGGTCCTCGGGGCGAGCGAGTCGTGTCGGAAGAGGAGGAGCGGCGTGTGCAAGCCTTCGACCCGTAAACTAGGGCCTCGAGGTGCTTGCGTAGCATCTGGTAGTACCCATTTTCTGAGGTACGAACTCTCACGGGGTCGACTCCAGGTTCCGTCAAGGTTCCCCAAGGACCGCAAGGACAGCAGACCCGGTACGACCGGTCGGGCCGTCCCCACTGGCCAGGGCAACGTGCGTTGTTTGCGGCAGATCAGCAACGAGAGCGCCGCCTCCCGGGCCTCCCGGGGCTCGCGGCTGTCGGTGGGAAGTCGTCCCAGCCAGAATAGCCGCAGGAGCGACTCGCAACTCGGATGAAAGCGACGGAAAGCGAGGTGATGTTTTTCCTGAAAGTGAGATGGGTGATGTGAGTTCCAGGGGCACCACCCTTGGTGCAAAACCACGGTTTTCCTTTTGAAACGGTTTTGAGGGCTCATGGTCGTGATGTTTGTCCGGTGCACGGCAAATGCAAGAGGTTTTTTTTGGGAGTGCTTTGGAGAGGGATGTAGAGAGGTGATTTATTTGAGGTATGAGTGATGCAAACCTTTTGTGAGCCACCCGAGGGTAGAATTTAGAGGAGGAAGCTGCCAATCCAACGATGCATACCTTTTGTGACCCAGCCGAGGGTGAAATTTAGATGAGGCTGGTGCCATTCCCACGGTGCATACCTTTTTCCATGATAGTGAAAACCCAAAAACAATGAATGTAAGTAGCAAAGGCTGTGGACGCAAGTGATCAATGAAAAGTCGAATGACATGATGTAACTTGATTATCTTTTCTGGTCAACGTTGATTTCCATGGGCGCAAGTGACCCATTCAGAGCCCAAAATACTGGCAGGATCAGTGATGGTATTTAGCCTACAGAATGGTGGCCAGCATTCTGTAGGCAGCAAGAGGGTTGGGTGTACTTATTTAGTAGGGAAAAGAGAATGCACGATTTGTGGGTTGGGTGTACTTATTTGGTAGGGGAGGTCCTTCATTTTGTAGGGAATCATAATGGATGGATATGGGTGGTCAAAATAGAAATTCGAAATTAACTAGCTACTTTGGTTAACTTTTTCTCCTCTCCCCCTGTCTCTTCCCTGTCTCTCCCTGTGTCTCTTCCCTTAACGAGTCCCACCGAATCAGATTGCTTTCGGGACACACTCCGTCGATGAATCCGAAAGAAGGTGATGCCGGTTTCGATGCCGTTCGCTCCGCCGCTTTCGGATCACCTCTTCGGACACCCCATGACTCCCCTCACCTGTTCGGACGTTCGGACTCGGTGGGCCTCCCACCGTTAAGGGAAGAGACAGGGGGAGAGGAGAAACAGTGTAAAAAGTAGCTAGTTAATTTCTAATTTTTGGCTATTTTCCTGGTCAAATTCCTTTAGTTCCTATCCTCCCTTGATGTTTCAAGAGTTTTGAGGCCATTTCTTGAAATTTATGTGTTTTTTTTTTAATGATGAAAATTCCATAATGTCTAGACAGTTTCCTGGTCAAATTCACTACCGAATGAGTAGGCCCTCCAGACCGCGCCCCATTTTGTAGCAATCAGTGACCTTGGCCCCCTCCATTTTGCATAATTGGCCTATCCCCTCCCTACAAAATGAGTCCATTTTTTTTTTGGAGTCATTTTGTAGGGATGGGACGTTGGTCGCTGACATTTTGTAGTGATTTTTACTACCAAATAGGGACCCCGACCCCTCACCCTAAATATCAACGGAGATCTGGCAGGGCCACACAAACTACCCGCGAGCCGGAAAACCCGGCTGTAGAACACAATACCTGATGGTAGAAAAGGTGCTTGTCACACGGGTGATTTGAAGAGTGAATGACTAGGTTTGTGGCTGACTTGTCAGATCCCACGACTTGATTCCTTCCATGATAGTGA